TTTTTAAACCGCCACCCAGTTTGGTATGTCCAATCAGGATGTACAAGAACATCTTTCATTTCTAGTACTAATGTGTAAGGCGGCTGTATGTATGGGTGTTTTAAAGGATCTGGTAAAAGCTTATCGCGTGATGGCTCCTGAATCATTTTTTGGTAATAATTCATAGATTTCCACATCCGCTGTATATACTGTTGAATTACTGGGCTTTTACTAAATTCATCTTCGATTACTTGTCCTTCGGCATCTACCTCAGGTTTTCCGAACTCATATACAGCCCATATGGCTAGTGCAATGCCACTACCTCCAAATACTGCAAACCTATAAAATGAATGGTTTTATAAAACAGATATTTTTACAGTCACTTACACTTGTAAATGTCATGCGTTATATTATGCAAGGCAAAATAGCACATACCCAATTTTCATACGTTTCCAAGCCTTTTCATTTTCCGTTGCCTCTTCCTCTTCTTTGCGTTTTCTTTCACGTTCAGTCTCTTCATCAACATTGGCTGCAGTTTGGGGGAACAACTTTGACAAAATTTCTGGACTCGATGCCTTTTCTAAACCGTACCATATAAATCAATTAAATTAATAAAATACGATATAGGTAAACAAAATTGTACTTTCTGTTGTATAKAATCTTCCAAATTGTTGGCAGTCCGACTTTCGTCCAAAAATTTGGAACGCTGAGGAAACATGTAATCCTCGGTGATGGTTACTTAATGCTCGACATTTTTGTTCTCCAAATCGATGCCAGCCAAATTTGGTGGCGGATCCTAATTTTTGTATGACGCTAAGGACTCCTTTTCGTGCCATTACCATWTTTTGCCCCTACACTTAATTGTTTTATTAATAAATTTAAGTAAGTTTAAACTTTAAGTGTTCTTCTAATTCATTCCACCGGCTGTATTAACCTTCAATCTCATGCAGCTAAAAGGAATTTTCCGACATCTGTCATAAGTCAATTCGGACAATGTTGCCAGACTATCATATAGCCGGAAATAATTAATAAGCTTTGACGTTATATGTTTACAAAATTAAACATACCCAAGAGAATTGAGACACAGTTAAGATGAGAGTATTGAACACACCTTAGATGTCAAAGCGTGGATGGAGCGATTTTACACTATTTGAGGGAATTTGTCTTCATTTGTTTACATTAATTTATAATCTCTTTATTACAAATAAATCAGTTTACAAAATACGTTAAATAAAGAATGGTTTCTGAGAGCAATGATGAGGAAGTGGTGGTTTGTCGAGCCTGCATAAGCGAGTGCGTAGAATACAAGTCGTTGCACAAGCAAGGTATTTGTATGGGTGAGGTGCAAACTTTGGCGTCCATGCTGAGTTTTATTACAAATTTGGATTTTTCAAATGATGATATCGAAAGTTTTCCTTCAAATATCTGTTTGCGTTGTGTCCAAAATGTTGCTAAGACATATGCTTTTAAGAAAATGGTAATGGAAACAGATGAAGTATTGCGAAGACAGTTAGCAGAATTGGACTGTGGGATAGGAATGACAGATGCAGGAGCTGGTGACAGTGTTATTGAAGATCTTGACACAGAATCAGCGGAGTCAGTTGTAGAAGAGCACCATCTCGAAGTAGAAGAGGGAACCGATTTGGATGAATCTGATCAACTGCATGATTTGGCGACAGCAGCTCAATTCAAAAGATCTGTAGAAAGTATGGAGTATGTGTCTTTAACGGTATTAGACAGCGTTGTAGATGGATGTGATGCAGCAATATCCATGGAACAAATGCAATGTGATATAGAGCATAATGAGCAAAATTGTGAGGAAGATGAAGTGGTCGTTCATGAAGTAGCAGAGTCAGAAGAAGTATACCAGTCGGATACTGAAGAAGACGGTAGAAACAAGGAATATGAAGAGATATACGAAGTGAAATTAGATGAAATGTCTCAAAGTGACTGTTCTTTGTTGGAAATTGCGGAAGGTCACCAAATACATAACCATTTTAAAAGAGAAATTAAATCTGTCGATGCGGACGGRGAATGGGATATTAGTTTAGAACAGAAAATTAAACCGCCAACCAAAATCCGCAAAAAAAGCAATCAACCTAAACCGCCGAACCCTGATTTGCAATGCAAGGTAAGAAAGAAATAATGTCATACTTTACGAAGTCGSTATCCAATAGTTTATTTCATATATATTTTAGGTGTGTGGAAAACAACTGAGTAATCAAAATTCTTTTAAGTACCAYATGCAACTGCATTCCGATGCTACACCTTATTTATGTAGTCTTTGTGGCGAAGGTTTTAAAACTCGTAATGCCTATGAAGGACATATAATTATCCATGATCCAAATAACCCGAATACATGTGAGCTATGTGGTAAAGCATATCGTCAGTCATCCTCTTTAAGAACCCACATGTTATCGCATACCGGCGAGAGACCTTTCCAGTGTGATATTTGCGGRAAGTCCATGACCCAAAAGTCAGGATATAAGAAGCACATGCTTGTACATACAGGTGAAAAACCGCATACGTGTGATGTCTGTGGTCGTGAATTTCGGTATTCTAGCAACTTGATTGCTCATAAACGTTGCCACTCTGGAGAGAGACCGTATGAATGCCCCCATTGCAAACGAGGTTTCCCAACGGCCGAGCAGATGAAGAGGCATTCCTTAGTACACAGTGGGGAAAGACCTTTTCAATGTGAGATCTGCAATAAACGTTTCAAGAGACGTACATCATTGATGTCACACCGACATACACATGACTCTGAGCCTGAGCTGATTGTTGATCATAAAGTGTGTAAATCAAATGTCGTCGAGCTATACTAAATAGTTATTGGAATAAACCAAAACCAATGAGAAATATAATATCTATGTAAATTTTTTTTTCATTATAGTATAAAAATATGTAAATGAATGGTCAGTGGACTGATATTCATCATAATTCTAATTGGCATCCCTTTCGAAATTCAAAAATTTCAATGTTGCTTATACAGATTCAACCTTCATAGAATATTCTAATTTAAGTTTCATAAAAGAGAAAATAAATACAACAACGTTTTTACGAATAAATATTTTATTTTTATACAGGATTTTTTAAATAATTACATTAAAGTTACAACACATTTTTGGATATACTATGTACATATATAAACATTTTTATGTGAAACACACGAACGAAACGCGGAAATGTTCCCTTTATTCTTTATATATRTTTTATTAATCATGCTTAGGGTAAAAACAATATATCGTATATAGGTGTGGCGGTACATTACTACAAGATAAAATTAACGTAATACAATTTATCACAAAATTATAGTAAGAGCCTTTGAGATTCCTTCAATGCTCTAAATAGGAAATAGACAATAGATTAGAATCAATAGAAAATCAAATGGATATTATTCTAAATGGCTTAACCCATTAGCTGTGGCGCATTTTCTCCCGTTCATTACCGCGTTCAATGTACCAGTTCTTTCTGCGTTGACGAATTTCATTTTCATTCCTTGCGGCTTCTCGCTGTTTCATTAATTTTCCATGCCATTCGCCGCTTGTAGGCGTTCGCTCAGCCGAATTCTCATCAAAATTKCGATCCTTATAAAAACGGCCTTTGGACATAGTATGTTCTTCAGAATGTTCTTTTAAGCGCTTGCCAAATTTTTCTTTCGAATTAAGTTTCTTCCGTCCGGACCCTTCCCCGTAATCATCGATATTTTTATCTTCTTCACTATATAAACGTCGGCGCTGCTTCCAATGTTTTTTTGTTTCGTATTTATTTTCAGTAGTGTACTGATCTCTTTTATTTGAGTTGCGACCTTGTTTATACATATAATTTTCATTTGGGTTAACCTTAGAACTTGGTTCATCGAGTTTAATAGTTTCATCTGTTCTTGAGTCTTTTTTTAATAATTCTATACTTTCAAGAAATTGCTCTACCATAACATCGTCGACCTTTTTGAAAATATCGTCCATATTTTTAATATTCGACTCCGTTCTTTCTATACACATTCCAGCAACTTCTCTAAAATTTCCATCAGTACATTTATATGTTTTTTTTAGATCGTTTTTCGTTATCTGTACGGGATCGAGATTATCTCCATTCCCCGACCATGCGTTAAAAGTTTTACTCTTTTGTTTCAATGGCAATTCGTCATCTTGTTTGTAGTGTCGGTGCTGAGATTTCTGTACATTTTCGAAATCATTTCTTATATTTTTCCCTTTTTCCCACAACGAACTCAAATAATTAACTTGCTTAGATAAAATGTCAATTTCCGCTCGCATTAAATTATTTTTTAACTCCAAGTTTGTCAATCTTTCTTCCAATACAGACAAATTTTTACTAASAATCCATRGTTGCCAATCAGGATTGTATAATTTTCCTATAAAAGACAATATTGCAAGGCAAACACAAATGAAGAATGCGCCTTTTAAACTATGCMGCACAAGTGGATGAAGCGATCTTTCTACAAGGCTACTGATGACATTTGGATTAAATTCTTTTCGTTCTTGAATTTCACATGAACTTGAATGACGTTTACGTCGCTGTCTTAGCGAATTTTTATCTTCGTTGTTCTCAGTGGGGGATAGTAAATAAGACGATTGTGGAATATGTATAGGCAACCGAAGCCTTGAGTTARGGGAAATATTTTCCTGATAGTCATTTAAATTTACGCTGGTTAAGTTAGCTTCAATTGCAAGTGGTGAAGCTCTCCCAGCGCTCTCGCTTTCACTGATGATTGAGATACCTTCGGAAATGTCATCAACATTCGAGTCGTCATCAGCTTGATAGCTGTAATTAAATGTTATTTAAAACAAAAATATAATAATTTTCGAAAATTTATAAATACGAACTCATTATTTCTTTGGATTTCCTTGTTTTCAGGCGTTGGAGAATCATTAAAGTTTGTAAGTATATCAATTTTATTATTTGTATCTGCAAGAATTTCAGACGAAGAATTTCTTTCTTTCCTTTTATTTTTGTCATTAACTAATGTCCAAGTCTCTACTGAATCGGACTCAGTACTAGTTGTTATTGATTCATCATCAGTGGAAGAATTTAACGAGGCCTTTTTTGAATGGTCCATCGTGTCTCTTTTTAAGTTTTTATGTTTTTAATCTAGAAAAATATAAATAAATTTAAATGTTATTTATAAACGGAAATTTTGATTATTTTATTTGACATATAAAGACATAAATTTATTTGGAAGTTTCCAATAGAGATACTGATTTCTACCAATATCTTATCCCTATAATAACTAAACATAAAACTATTCATAGAAAAATTTGCTACAATATGAAATAAAATGCGACAAAATTCTTCTTTGTCTCTTTGTGCAGGAAAAACTGTGAGAAATGTTCAACACAGTTGCGTATGCAGACAAATGAAACTCATATAAATAGTAAATTGCAGTAAATAACAATGTGTACAAGTGAGAGTGCTATTTTCGAATTCATTTTTGCAGGGAACGTGTCCATATCTGCATACATCCATATGCATTGAAACAATTTTCAAGGGAATAGATACTGGGTATTTATTTTATTTATGAATTACTTGAACGCGACTTATTATGATAAAAGAAATACACTCAATACCAAAAATGATTAAGGTGTTATAGAAAAGTAAAGCGCTGAATACATACCGATATGATTTTAATTACTTCCTTTAACAACTACTGGAATATTTTATACTGTTTAAATAAAACCAATGTATATAAAACTACAAAACTGTTGACAACGAAATCTGAATTTTTAAAAAATTTTGCAAAGAAATGTCTTAATTTAATCCAATCAATACTTTAATACTTGCAGATTCTAATGTATGTTTTATTTGGCACAGAGTAATTAAATAATATGTTATCAAATATGAGAAACTTAAAGAAGAAACAACGCCTCTCCGAATAGCTCAATCATATACAAATATAATTAAGTTCCTTTTCATAATAGATTAAAAGGGTTTGCTTGGGTTTTCATTTCAACCGATATTATAAAACATCGTTTTATGATTAATAACTTAGTAAGGTTCATTTAAGGACTGCATATATATAAAGCTAGTATGACTAGATATAAAGAAATGTTGTTTGCCGTAGTTTCTGTTTGCGGCCAAGAGTTTAAGAGATAAAAAAAGCGAAAAACCTCAATTTAATAATAATCAAATTTGGCATTATGTTATTCAATCACTTTTGTACTCAGTGCATCTACTTATAAGTGGAATAAAGGACGTATTTGAACTCAATTCCTAGTACATACCAATACTGCCATCTAAAAATCTAAGACTTTTTTTTGCATATAAAAATCTGTTACTATTGTAATACGTACGCTAAAATATGTACTTCCAGAATGAGTATTTTCCATTTATTCTATGTACTTTCTAAAGTATTCACACTTTGTTCATTAGACAGAACTAAATATTGGCATTAATAACTTTACCTCCAAATATTTTCAAAATATTGACTTTACACTTTTTATAGAATTAAAAATTGTCCATATTAACAATGTAATCATTTAGATTGATTTCCTAGGATACTAATTTTGAAGGCAAGAAGAAATTCTTCCTCATAATAATGATATTTTGCGCACTACTTTTACACAGCATAAAACTTTTACAACAGGCAAACAAATAGTAATAAAGATAAATGCGTCAAAATATTTAACTAAGAAGTTGCCACAGTGTTTTACGAGAATTCATTTGATATTACCTTGATATTCTTGTCAATTGCGGCGAAATCTTTGAATCGAGCCCTAAACAAATTATAATTTGTAACAATTTTGTGAACAGCTGTTTGGCTTCGCTTGAAGTTGCCACCTAATAAAAAAAAGTGATAGGATCGCAGAGAGAGATTACGTTATGGGCTATCTCGAGAGAAAATAAATGTTGCCAACCTACCGTTACATTTATTGCTCTTGCCATTGGCAATTTATGTGGATTTGTGTTTGGGAAAATGATTCTAGAAAGCATGTACAAACTTTCGAACAATAGCTATGAGGAGAATGAAAAAGAAAGAAAATTACTTTATTCAAAGTGTGCTWTAGTTGCAATAAGTAAATTAATTTGAACATATGTATATTAATAATAACCACTAAAAGTGTATCAACTTACCGATCCAAATAGTATTAGATCGCCGAAATAACAATTCTTAGGAATTACTAACCTAGTTTTCAACTCATAAGCTAATGGATTTATTTTAAAGTTAATACCGTGTTCAGACCGACACTTAATCACACGATTTCGGCTGCTGAGTGGTTCATACCACTAATCTTATAATCTTCAAGATTTCGCCAWATWAAAATGACAGTTCAAAATCACTTCATCGGAGTGATTTGAAACTGATCCACGCTAAATCTCTCTGTGCGACTCTGATTTTGCGCCATTTATTTGGCAGCATTGGAAATCTATTACATTATCACAGCTGATTTAGACACTACAAAGGGAAAAAATATAAACAAACAAATTTTTTTTACAGCAATGAAGCTAATTTCACCTGTAAATCGACTTCGCAAATGAAAAAATGGGTCCATTATTTCCACAATGTGGAAAATATTTCAAAGAATACGGCTTTTATTAAAAAATACTATATGACAATGTTTTATTTTCATAAATATTGATTGATRCGCRGAACACAATGCTCGCGACAGACTGCAGCAGCACGACAGTGAACTGAAAACGGCGTTGTGAATCCTACTACATGAACGTTTGTGAGAGGGCAGCAACATAACAATGGTCGGCATGTACACAAAACAACGCAGTTGTTCATTTTGCAATTTTAATATTTTGTTCAAAGYGAAATTTTTARGCAAAATATAAGTAAATAGGTAAATTTATTTGTTTTAAACTATCAATTGTTATTATAAATGATGTAACAGAGCTATTTTATGCTTTTATTTGTAAAATAAGGTCAGGTTTGTTAGAGCTTTGAGTAATATTACATTTTACATATTAGTGGCATCACCACTCTACCTCATCTCTCTATCTTCCATTCTACTGTCGTCCTACTGTCGTTGGCAAATACAGGATAAAATTGAAGTTAGCGAGAACGACAACTGTCGGCCTGCCGTCGTGTAGTCGTGCAGCTGTCAAAATAGGTCCGTCCATAAGAACGTGTGTATTTTAATATTTGACAGATRTCGTTCGCAGTCTGTCGCGAACATTGTATTCCACACATGATGTGAATTCTTGAATSCCAAAAACAGCTGTTTTTGAATTTTTYCAACGGGAGTAAGAACACTGTTTGGTTATGAAATGCTTAATTGTAATCTAATCTTTTAAATTTACGGTCTGAACATGGCATAAGATTAAAAAAATTTAAGCTATTAAGTTGGTTGTCGCGATTAAAGAACAGAACAAAATTTTAATAATGGAAAATCGCTTTGCTGTTATACCAAATATTCACCAAGTTTCGAAGTACTTTTGAGGTATCTCAAAAACCTGCCTTTTAAAGGTATCAAGGAAAGGCCTCTTCATGCATCGAAAAACGTAGAATTTGTTTATCTTTTATGTACGGTAATAAAAAAAAGTCATTCGGTGCTATGTCAAGACTATACGGTCGATGACTCATTGATGTACACTGGCAAAGAAATAATTCAGTTGCACTCAGAATCTCCTGTTCTCCTTTGTCTGGTTGTTCCAAAAGCAAATGGTTGCCGTTTGGAAAGTTTTGCGAGCAACTTTTGTTGAATTCGGCTCATCCCATACAGTCGATTGCTCTTTACTTGAGGAAGCAAACGCTTAATTACGTACGTTTCATCATCTGTCACGATTTCATAGACGTGTTTCGAAGCACCGCTATAATTTTTTTTTGTTTGTACATTTCTTATTTCCAATTGTGTGGGCTTCAAAGTGGACAAATATGTCAAATGTCCACGCAATATTGAATGTACATACATACATATGTTGSTTTCCTAATGTTTATAGTTGTATCTATTTCATGGTAGGTCACAAGACGAACTGGCAATGTTAGTTTGCCACATAGTTTGCGGATGAACAACTGATTTTGGATAGAATTCAAGAAATCCGTCCTGGAGTGATCTATGACCTCCATTAAATTTTCCTTAACAGCGATGAACACAAGTCCTTGATGGAGTTTCATCGCTAATAATTGAATTACGCACATCGATGAACTGTCGCTAAGTTAATTCCTGATGGAAGTTGTAAAATGTTCACTTTGTATATTTCAACTTACTGTAAACAATGCAAATAGCGGGCGTGTATTATAACGTTCTGAGTATGTATGTACATAAATTATCACAATTTACGAAAAAGCTGTCAAGCCCCGAAATGTAAAAGGCAACCTATAGAGGATGGAGTCATGTGTGATTAAAGTTCTTTGATCGCCATTCACTTGGGAATGGCCCAGAAACGATTCTTTTACACATGGCTCAAGCAGCTCACGACTTCCGGGCTTTGACCAAGTATCCTCTGGGTAGCTTAAGAACATCCGTTTGAAGGCGAGGTAAAGTGAGAAGGCGRAATATCTCCTCCGCAGAGTTGTGCGCTGGTTTGGGACCCGCCACGTAAAAAACGCACCCAATGAAAAGAAACAACAAACCTCGGAAGAGTGACCCCCCTTCTGATGACGACCATGGCAAACGAATTAAAGATTATGATTTGAGGGCATGCACCTGGAATGTCAGATATGCGCCCACGCCCGTCGGAAGAGAAGGACGATGTGACTAAAGTTGCCTTCTATGAGCGCTTGGTCGCACCTTTGAGAGCTGCCCTCGCCACGATATGAAAATCGTGCTTGGCGACTTTAACGCTAGGGTGAGCAAAGAAGGTATATTTGGTAATACGGTCGGTAAATTCATCCTCCACGACGAAACATCCMMAAATGGATCGAGGTTGATTGACTTCGCCCGGGCCCGAAATATGGTTATCTGTAGTTCTAGATTCCAGCATAAAAAAATTTATCAAGMCASCYRGSTRTCTCCGGATCRAAAAATCATCAACCAGATCGATCATGTTGTGATAGACGGAAGACACGTCTCCAGTATTTTAGATGTGCGTGCGCTCCATTTTCTACTCGACTCCTGATTTCTGRGAGCACTCRTCAACAACTCGGTATTAGGGAACTATGGGACGGCATTTCAAGCTTCATACGTACAGCTGCAACCACATTGGTTTTCGGAAAATGCAAAAGAACAGCTGGTAACACGAGGAKTGCCATGTCGCAGCAGAGAGAAAACAGATTGCCTACTCGCAACGTTATGGATTGCCGGTTGAGCTTTTCAAACACGGCGGCGAAGACCTGATAAAAAAGCATGCACCAGCTTCTTTGTAAAATATGGTCGGACGAAAGCATGCCCAACGATTGCAATTTAAGTGTRCTCTGCCCAATCCACAAAAAGGGAGACCCCACAATCTGCGCCAACTACCGTGGRATAAGCCTCCTCAACATCGCGTATAAGGTTCTATAGAGCGYATTGTGTGAAAGATYAAAGCCCACCGTCAACAAACTAATTGAACCTTATCAGTGTGGCGTYAGACCTGGCAAATCAACAACCGACCAGATATTCATCATGCGCCCAATCCTGGCGCCGACACACACCACCACTTCGTCGATTTCGCTGTCTGAATTCGGTATCCCGGCGAAACTAATACGACTGCGTAAACTGACGCTGAGCAACAYCAAAAGCTCCGTCAGGATCGGGAAGGACCTCTCCAAGCCGTTCGATACTAAACGAGGTTTCAGACAAGGCGACTCCCTATCATTCGACTTCTTTAACCTGCTGCTGGAGAAAATAGTTCGAGTTAAATAACTTAATCGATGATATTGATACCATCGATCTCAACACCYGCGCCGTTAGTTCTGCTTTCCCCAGACTGGACACGGAAGCAAAGCTAATGGGTCTGGCAGTGAGCGAGAACAAGACGAAATATCTGTCATSAAACAAACAGTCGTCGCACTCGYGACTTGGCTCTGACGTCACTGTTGACAGCCATAACTTTGAAGTCGTAGATAATYTCTTCTATCTTGGAACCAATGTAAACACCACCAACAATGTCAGCCTGGAAACCCAACACAGGATAACTCCTTCCAACAGGCGCTACTTCGGACTGATTAGGCAATTGAGAAGCAAAGTCCTCTCTCGACGAACAAAAACCAAACTCTATAAGTCAGTCATCATTCCCGTCCTGCTATATGGTGCAGAGGCTTGGACGRTGACAACAATTGATGAGTAGACAATGCRAGTTTTCGAGAGAAAAKTTCTGCGAAAGATTTATGGTCCTTTGCGAGTTGGCCACGRCGAATATCGCATTCGATGGAACGATGAGCTGTATGAGATATATGTATGAAGTACCCACCGGGGGAAGCAGAGGATGAGGAAGACCTCCGTTGGAAGGACCAGGTGGAAAAGGACCAGGCTTCGCTTGGAATATTCAATTGGCACGTAGCGAGAAGRAGCACGAAGAAGCGGTGTCTACGCCAATGAAGAAGAAGAACCTAGGTATGTAGTATATATTTAAAACTTTTCATAATTCGTTTGACATGTCGCAACTTAATGTATTTTGAACAAAGTGAATGAAATAGAATTTGAAGTGTTACCGAARTCGTCATCTTTACAGCCCTTGTTAGGTATACTTTTTATGAAGTTATTTTTAGAATAATCACATCGATTTTATTTGTATAAATACTGATGTTGATACATACAGGCATATTGAATCTTAAAAAATTATAATTTACATTGATAGACGTTTTAAAAGCACTAATGTATGTATGTATATTTACATTTAGCGTAGTGAGTAATTTGACATAATACAAATTCAAGAGTTGGACCAATCACTGACTTTGAATATGAATGAACGATTGTTTTTTAACTGACTTTAAGACAATAATTTATTTGCCATCCACCAAAATTTAAATTTTACATCTCATAAACTCATCTGGCCCTAAACTACAAGTATGTAGTTAGTCTTAAGTTATTGTTGTCTAATATTTCCTAGAAAAGCCCGCAATATACATATGTCTACGTACATACTTATATACTTATGTATGTATATAGATGAGTTTAATACAAGCGAAAAGGTATCCAACCTTTTTATACTGTTTGCAATTAGTTCTAATTAATTTGAGTTAGGCTGGTTATTTGTTCGATTTACTACTCCTAAAGTTTTTGCGAAGCAAAGTCATTTCTGTAATTTTCAGGCACATTTCTTCAAAGACTAAGGTGAATAAATACTGTTACAAAATTAACTAAATACTTCGGTAATTACACTATATTTTGTATATTTTCGGTAATCTTCTTTTGACGAAGTTTTCGTTAATTAGCTATCACTAAATGTAAAAGTATGTATTGATGAATATTTGAAGTTTTTACGTATATTACTTTTGGTTGTTTATTATACTTGCAGATATTATTTTATGAAAATAGTCGAGATAACTTATTTYTGAGATTTCTTATTAAATGACTTCCTCTGAACTCACCGTTGTTTCCCGTATTCTCAAAAATACGTCGAACTTCGCCAGCTTCGGAGCCACTTTCCCAATCGTAGGAATGTTGGTTGTTTAAATCTTCTAATTGTTTAGATGATGGTTTGGCTTGGGTCTGCCGATTGTTGGGTGTTCTTCTTTCAATTGTTGCTGCATGTTGAATTTGGAGTTCAGCAGTGTTCGGAATTGTTTTTATATTAGTTCTATTCGGGAGCTCAATTCTGTTTGAGGACGGTGAATGTAGTTGCTTGAGCATATAACAGGGACTACTAATGTTCACTGGCTGTAGTCCAGAATGCTGTTGTAACCGCTGATTACGCGGCGTCCAATATATTTGACTCGCCTGTTGACTTGACTGATCAAGTATCAATGGAGTACATCGTCCATTATACAGCCTATGCTGTAATTGCTGATTAGAAGGAGGTTCCCGAACACTTATGTAACCATAAGCGCCCGGAACAGGTTGCAAATTGTACGGGCGGACGTATTGTGGTTGAGCGTAAATATCATTCTGTCCGGGATAATAGCTGAATACTTGTTTCGCAGGTACCATTTTATCACCATCAACAAGTACATATTGCGGAGTAGGCAAATTTCCATGCTCTACATATATTGCAGGAGTTTCCAGATCCTGTCGCATCAAGTTAATTTTTTGAGGACTGTCGTAAATTTCCGAATTGTTTGATAGTAAGCTATTTCTTTTWACCACATGTGCATAAATTGGTGATACTGTATTTGGATTTATTTCGCTTATCATATGCGCCGTATTTATTGGTATGAATTGTTGAGGCAAGCTCTGCATACGTTGAGGAACTTGAGGAGCCGCATACATTCTTGAAGCAGGCCTCTGGTTCGTTTCGACGGACGCATATGATACTGGAGACAAATCAGAGGGACCAGTTTGCTTATTATGAATTACTCTAGTTTGTGATTGTTGAATAATTGGTGTTTTATTTAGAGATTTTCTGCAAAAATCTTTCACTTTTTGCAAAATCTCATCTCTAGTTAGTAGACCACCGATGCGACGCTGTTCTGGATTACACACCGGTTCGGATATTTTGTTATCTTTTCGTCGTAGAACAACTGGTGTACCCATGTCGATTTCGTAGTCTTTTCTGTTAATATTACCGTTCCCAGAAGTATAAGTCATATTGCCCAAGACGCTTTGACTACGAGGAGTAGATTCGAAAACACTTTCCTTAATATTACTAATATACCGTATATTTACAGGAAATGATGATGGAATTAATGCTCTTCCATCAATAATCTTAGCTTGTCTATTTTTAGTCAAGCCTGCGAATGTGTTCCTTTGTGGAGATCCCCGAATAAAATTGGATTCGACTATTATGGGCTGTTTGGATATACTATCAGGTTGAGTTACCGATATTTTTTGTGGCTGAAGACGTTCATATATATTTTCTGCGTCCTGCTGTCTTTTTTGTTCTTGTAACATTTTCAGGTATAGCTCGTTGTCCATACGATCTTTAATCGATTTTAATCGCTCCCACTCTTGTTGGTCGACATAAACTTTATTTACCAGGCTTACGCTATGTGTTAAACTGTGGTTTTCCCCATCATTATTTGCATTTCGGATTGGAGTTGAAGTTTTTTTGGGTCCATTCATGGCAGAAAATTGTTCTCCTATRCTTTCTTTAGAGGTGAAAGGTGTAGAAACCTTAGAAGCCTCATTGTCACTTTTTGATTTGTATTGCAGCTCTCGTATAAGTCTCTTTTTCAATATTTCATTACGATCCATTGAACTAGAACGATTAAAAATTTGTTTGCGGTTTAAAGTTTGATTAGATCGTTTGGGTATTAGGCTTTGGCGCTCAACGCTTCGCTTTATTGTACCATTAGACGAATTTTCAAGTCCTTCCGTCGTTAGATTCGTTGTGTTATTTATAGCGTAAAGTCGATGTGCTCTTGGTTTTAGTATTGTATTATTTGGAGGGGGTCTATTTTGTTGAGAGCTTACCAATCCTGAGGGTTTTATGAATGGAATGTGTGCATCTCCTTCTGCCGTTGAATTCTGGAGCAGCTCGCCATTTGGTAAGACACTAGATAATGAATTAGATAAGTTTTCACCACTTGCGAAACTCTTGCGGGACTGTTGTTGTTGGTGTTTTAAGAACTCCGTTTCGGCAGGACTTAGTAAATTATTATTTGCATGAGGACGTCCGTGAAAACTTTGTCTTTCTAAAACCACTCGCTTAAGCGAAGTTCGCCGGTTATCTAAATTTTCTTTTAAATTCGTTTTATAATTGTTCAGTGATTTCGGAGTAGGAACGATATCTTTGGGAGTTGTTTTACGTCTAGTGGCAAAAATACTATTTGAAAGGAGACGTTGAAATACTGAGGGCTTTTTAGAGTTACGCACAGAGTCCGTTGTATCTAATGAGATCTGTACGCTCTCGGGGCTTTTAAAAGAGATACGAGTCTCAGGTTTAGTTATCTGTCTGCCAGTTGTATACACAGATTGTGCGCCATTCGGGATTTTTTTGGGTATCAAAGTAAGACCCTTTTTTTCAAGATAATCATGAAACTCTTTAGATTTTATTGTATTGGTAAATGTGCCTTCAGGCGCCTCTTCCAATATTTCTTTGACATCCATATTTTCAAAGTTAACTTTTTTGGGTTGTTCGGATTCTGAGTTTATTTTCTTTATATTAACTAAGTTCGGGGTCACTTCATCACTCGATTCACTTTTTGTTAAGGGACCATCTATTTCATCTAAATCATCTTCTGAACTTATCTGAAGTGTTTTTACCCTATCGTCGAACTTTTTGGCATTCTTTGACACTTCGGCTGGATTAAAAAAATTTCCAACCAAATCAGTACCAACTTTGATCTTGATGTCAGAGAGATCAGGATAATTTGGTTTTGAACATTTCTTAAAGGGAATCTTTGAGTGTGAAAGCGATACTTCTATTGAAGGTTTACTTTTTAAATCCTTAATACGATCTTTAKTTTGATTTGTTAAACGAAGTTTTTTTGAAGAGTTTTTGTCACCAATATCACGTGTTTCTTCATATTTAAGTCGTGCTAGTATGGAAGGGTCGTAAACAAAATACGGATCCGGATTTTTCACATATGTCTTAACATATTTGGATTGTTTTAGAACTTCTTCAGTAGTAACGAAATCGTCAGGTGATGGAAAGGACACAATATTACCAGAATTTGACTTTCGGTTATTTGTTTCGTTTTTAATTCGTTCTTTTTCCTTTTCTTTTTCACGCTCCCTTTCTCGTAGCTGTTGAGTGACAGTTTTCCGGACACTCAACGTCGATCGTTTAGCTGGAACAGGGGGCGGAATTTTCTTCTTCTTAGCCGAGTTTCCCCAAGTTGCATAATGTTGTTTAAAAGGATTTTTTTGATCTACAATTGGTTCGCCTTCTATAAATTTGCGGACCTTCTCGTCTTGGGGATCAAATGAAACCGATTTTTTTAGCTTAGTGCTCGTCTTAACAGAAGCTGATATTGATGAAGTTGACTCATCATGTGAAATATCACAGTTATCATATAAGGACTCGCATTCGTCATTGTCGTTTTTGTAAGGCTTTTTTGGATCGGAACTGTCGATATTATGAGTGTGAATAACATCGTCAGCTATGTTGCTTTCACAATTTGAACTTTTCTTGTCATTACTACTCAAGTTGTGATTGGAACTAGTGTTACTATTTTCTTTAAAATTTTCTATTACGGTGCAAAGTGACTCGGTACTGGCATCATTTCTAGCAATTTCTGACATTTTTACAGAGGGAGTCTCTAAAATCAATTCGACTTCCGATGCTTAAGGAGTTTAATTTTGAGGATATTGGAATACGGGTTTCGTCTTTTGAGTTATTACGCGGCATTGGATTTCCTTAACTAAATCAATATTTGAAGCCGGTTTTGTAACAATAAATCTGTAGAAAAAAAAACATTAAAATTATTTTTTTATTTATATACATACATATGTATTTAAGTCAAGGCCAAGTTCAAAGGGGAAGAAAGTATTTACCTTTTTAATTGGCTCCGATTCTGTTGCCGCTGTCGAAATTCCGTTTCCGTCACTACCACGACACTACAACTCTGAACTGATCGTTAATATTGACTAGAAAGAAAACGTATGTGAGTTTGGTTTAACATTGTGGTATTACTTAAGACGGCACCATTGTATTGATGTTAAATAATATTCAACGCGACAGAGTGGCTAGAGGCGGGGACTACCACTAATCACCATCTGATAGATGTATTTGTATTAACACCCCCAAATATTTACCATTAGTGATTAATTTCTTTTCACATTCAGAACAAATTATTAATTTATAGKTAAACTTAATTCTGGTAGAAGAAAATATCGGATTAATAAGAATCAAGGAATGGGAGTTGTGAAATTAAGTAGTTTCGAGTGTTGAGAGGCTCTAGCGGTAGCAGGCAATGTTATATGTAATTTCTCAAAGAAAAAAATTGAAAACTATGGAATTGTAAATTTATTTCTGATTATGTATATGGTTATTGGACGGTTCCTTTAATGGAGCGTGTACTGTAGCATTCAGCGAATACACGATCTGTTACCCTCCTTAAACGATAAACCTCCTTAGTTGCGGTTTCATAACGTGCGCATCGAGGGTAAATGCCTCGTGGATGCCCAAGCCAAAAAAGAAATACATTAGTGCGCTCGGATGAATTTGAGGTTTTTGTGGTCTGCTTTTCTTCAGTCAAACATATGTACACATGCTAACTATATATGTATGTACGTAAAGGTGGCCGAATTAAAAACACTCATTTCGTCTTTACGATCGCCGAAAGTGGGAAAGCCGTAACAAAACCCAAAGAAGCAGCAGATCCATGAGTGAAAGGTCTTTTAGTTATATACAAATGTATGTATGTATGTTTACATGCTTGGATGACGCCACCTTTTAATTTTGTTGTAGTTCAATATGCATGTATATATGTATGTAAGCCAAACGAAAGCATAACACATATTATTACATATTAGYATTTGTACTATGTACTATCTGAACACGTACTATAGACGAGACAGTTTCATGTATTCGCGGGCATTAAATATGTTTCAGATCACTAGACATGATGTTAGTTGTTAGACTAATGTCATGCCATAGATATACTACATATCTCGTTGTGGAGAGCTTCGACAAAGCTCCGAACTAATTGGCAAAGAATCGTGTCAGATTATTGCTTCATTTGCGAACCCCCACAATCAATGAGTTGCCGTCTTAATTACTTCTGTCCTTCCTATTTTTGCTATTGTTCTTTATGGCTACGTCTATTCTAGATGCTTGGTCCAACTTAATCTACAAATAGGACTATGGTATGTTTAGGCTATCCAAAACCAAACTGCTGTCTTATATTAAGTAGAAAGACTTATTTCCTGCAGTGTTTTTCACATGGAAGTGTTAATGGGAGTACATATATATGTATGTAAGTATATTTCTGCGCGGAATAGGTGTTTCGAATTGAATCGAAATATTTCATCTTCTGACTCGAAACGTCGTAACATTGTACGGACGTCTGTGTTTCTTTTGTTTTAGATTTTCATGTAGACGTAGRCATGCTTTAAGCCCTCTACCCATAATTTTGCGTATAAATATAGCCAAAAAGTACATAAAATGTACCATAGAATTTATATTGACACTGCGCCCTGGCATAAATTACAGTTACATATTTGATATAAGCGGTGAATGCAAAAAGAATCAAAAGGAAATTGCTATTATGTTGGAGCCCCCATTGAAATAAAAGCATTTAAGGGTAAATGCCAGATTGGGTGGACGCTATATTTTGGTCATTTGCCACTAGTGACAACTAAATTGTCTTGGTGAGGGTGTTTCAAAGGGGAGACCTTATAGAAATACGCATGAAATAAGGGAGGGTTAGTCCGGGAAGAAGCAAAAATCATATACTATCACTGTACAGACTGTTCGAGACTTCATGTGTCTGTCTGTATAATTTTAAACGAATGCTAAGACATTTACAGTTTTCTTCTTCGTTTGGAGCACCTTACGGGTTTCCTCTCTATTACGGCAAAGTTTCATAATTGGTTCATTTTACTAAAACCGTTAAAATTAGAAATGGAGATATTTAATGAGGTTCTTGAAAAGTGTTTTTCGTGATTATACTGCATCCTCGCTGGTTGGCGTAATGTACTACTTAAATTTAGAAATGTTGGAAGAAGCGTAAGTATGGTTTCATTTTTTAATAAGAAAACACTATTTTAACCACCTTAAACTTTGATTTTTGAAATATGAGTGCTGTAGCATTACTGTATCACAAAAGAAGAAACTTAGAAAGACACGCTTTTAATATACATATGTACTTACATACATACATATACTAAAATCATCATGAGCAGCGTTCAAAATGTAAATTTCGGTTTGCGGGGTATTGGCTCCCTCTTCTTACTGCCTCCCCCACAATAACCGAACAATTCAGTTTGTTCTTTGTAGTTTTGTGTAGACAACAACCAAGTATTTCTGATTTCTTTGCAGAAGTGTGGTTAGCCTAATAAATTACAACGAACATGCATACATACATATGTACATATGTATATAATCAGTTCTTTCGGACGACGCGTGTCTAAACCGAAATGTGTTCATTGTTGAGAGGGTGCCTGTCGGCAATAAAGAGTATGCACAAGAGACAATCCGTATTAAGAATGAATTGTATGTATGTTTGTATGTATGTACACTGTACATAAGCCCATGTATGYATATTATCATGGTGCGTAAGCGCCCATTATCGCTTAATGTAAGCGCTGTATGAAACGAAATTGCGTTCTATAAAATGTTGAGTAAATGCTCTTAGCGGAAGATATTTAAAGAACTCCATAAAAGAACTGGTGCCTTATTAACTCTTTTATCACTGTAAAACGTACCAGTTGGGTGTTATTTCTTCAAAATGCTATTCTTGTGCAAGAAAAACGCAGTGCCCTTAGGAAATGAGAAACGTGAGTGAACATTTTAACTAATTTCAGTAAATGCAATAGATAGAACAAAATTTTAAAAAGGAAACATATAAAAAAGTGTGTGTAACTAGTGCAGCTGGGGATATCTGTTCCAAATCGAAACAGAAGAAAGCACTTGTTCTAACCAAGCGGTGACGTTGCCACCTTTTGACTAATCACAGGGTGCAGTGTTGGACATCTGTGCATTCGTCTATGTACTATTGCAAATTCTGGATTAAAAGCCTTAAGTGCTGAACACAAAGGCACGCGCGACACCACATGGCAGCACGACAGTGAACTGTAAATGGCGTCGTGAATCCTTCTACATGAACATTTGTAAGAAGGCAGCAACATAACAATGGCCGGCATGTACTCAAGACAACACAGCTGACCATTTTGCATGAACATAATTTCTTTGTGGCCATACTAATACCTTTCACTTAAATCAAATTTTAATATAATATTTTATTCAAAGTGAAATCATGCAAAAAATAAGTAAATAGGTAAATTTATTTATGTTTTAAATTATCAATTGTTATTACATACATATAACAGTGCTATTTTATGCTTTTATTTGTCAACTCTACGAGTTAGCGAGATTGACAACTGACGGCCTGCAGTCGTGCAATCGTGCAGCTGTTTAAATAAGTGTGTCCTTAAGAACGTGTGTATTTTATTATTTGACGCATATCGTTTGCAGTCTGTCGCGCTCTTTGTGTTCAGCACTTTATTGTAGAATGGGGGAGATAGTATATGTATGTATGTATGAAGGTATGTATGAAGGTATGTTGCTGTGCAAATCCGATCTACAACCATTTTTCGAGAATATTTTAAGGGTAGATTTGACGCTTTTGTTCCCATCGACTTTTTTTGTAATTTTTCCGCCAAAGAAAAAATACTAAGCTCATAGATTCAAATTTGTGAAAAAAGTGCTTCTGAGTGTTTGCAAGTGGTCTTTGATTATCAAATACATAAAGTATCCTAAAATGACTTTCGATCTTTAACATACGAGCAATTAAAAAATTTGTTCACCCCTTTTGTAATCTTTAAAACCATTATATGTAGATGGTGTTTTCCATGACATCGGTTTGTTTGTGTGTCCGTGCAAGAAAAAAGTTTGTTTTAATAGCTCTACTCTCCTAGTTACTCCCACAGCAAGCCACGACTACCCGAAACTCAAAACCGTTAAAACAATTAGCAAGGAAACTAACAAATATGTACATATGTATGTATAAAAGCTTTGTACTTTTTATCAAGTGATGTTAAGGCACTCAAATAATCTTAGTAGAAATCTCTGGTAGCTAGTCGAACAGAACTAGTCGATTGCACAACCGGGTATGCACGTACGAGTAAACATATGAACTGATGTACATACTATATATTTTTTGTACACATACATATACATATGTATATTACAATCTAAAATGTAAGCTAACATAAATTAATGAAAACTTACTATTGTTTTGACCTATTAAATCAAATTTCCGAGCGATATTAAAATTAGTTTTGTTGTACATAAGTATGTATGTATGTAGGTTAGGGTGAGTCAAAAAATTGAATAATTCTTTTCGCTTGGCATTATATTAGATATTTTCCCAAGTAGTTGGTAGCGAGATTTTTTAGCGAGACTCCCTTATAGATTTCGAGGCACAAAGCCGCAAAAAATATTTCAATATTTGACCCACACTAATGTATGTCGGTATATGTATATATATGTATGTATGTGCATGTTTCGAAAGTTTGACAGTGAACAACTATGCTGTGGCATACTACGTATGCATGTATGTACATGAATATACAATACATTATGGTGCAGACACCTGATTCGGCAAGGGAGCCAAGAGACTTTATGTGACAGCCTATGCATACTCAAACGTATATGGACATGTACATAGATATTTACATATACGATTACATCTCAAATGTAATGTTCACCTATTATTTCAAGCTTGACCTCTCCGCGTAGAGATAATAACATTTGTCCATTAGTCTACATACATTTACATATGTACATACATATGTATGTATATACTTACATAAATACAGTTAATACTCGGTAATGTATTATAAATCAACTTTCGAAAATATTCTAATTACATTTACTATAGAAAAACTGAATACGTGTACATATTTGTTTTTTGATACATTTT